GGAGCCAATCCTTCATACCCACTTCCTTCCTTTCCACAGGGTCCAAGTAAGTAAGGTAGCCTACTGACTACCCATAGGCCCCATAGTAGTTCCTTTTTGGGATTACCTTATAGGATTCTAAATATCAACCCCAAAAAGGAACTTTTAATGGGGCCTATGCGTAAACCCTGCAAACCCTAAACCCTAAACCCCTAATACCCTAACCCTAAACCCTAAAACCCTATGGGGCCTATAGGTTTGCAAGACACAATGACTGGAAGTGTAGGAGAAAGATTCCAATAGACGGCGTATTCCAGTACAACTAATCTAAGGTTTAGGGTTTTAGGGTTTAGGGTTTAGGATTTAGGGTTTTGGGTTTAGGTCGCAGTGACTCTCTAGGAAGCCCACCCTCACACATATGTATTCCTGGATCGCGTGGCAGGCTTAGTTTTGAGACCAAAACGAGGGCTTCCGGCCTGCAGCCCTATTTTCCCTGAGCAGGCGGCCGTCGAAATCTAAGAAGAGCCTGGTTCAGAAAATGAACCTGAACAGAAAATGAACCTGAACGTCCCGAAGCCCCCAAACTGAAAAGATATATCTTAAATGGTGAACTGCTCCAAGCCCCAAATCACGGTGCTGGCCCTCAGCCCAATATCTTAAGCCGTAACCTCAATTTTGAATATAAGCCATTATAAACCGCAACCCGAAGGGACATGGGGTCCTAATAATCCTGTAGTTTTCACCAGGGTACTATCCGGTTAACATGTCTACATAACCCTTTTACTTCTGACCGACTGCTTGCTTGGTAAGTTCAGGTGCCAGGCTATTACCGAAGGAAAAGAAGCCATAAAGTTACAAGGTTGCGTGTTGGAGAACTACGTATGGCAACCCTTCTGAAGCTCTTCATCTCAGAGCCATACCCACAGGCCCCATAGTAGTTCCTTTTCGGGATTACCTCAGAGGATCCTCAATATAAGCCACAAAAAGGAACTACGATGGGGCCTATGGGTATGCATCCCTTCCAAAACTCTCTCAAACCCTAAACCCTAAACCCTAAACCCTAAAACTCCCGTGAGGTCCCGGGAGCTGCTGTCAAGCTGCTCACGGCTTCTACCCGCATCGGAGCGAGCGGAAGGTTGCCCTTTACCCATAGGCCCCATAATAGTTCCTTTTTGGGATTACCTTATAGGATTCTAAGTATGAACCCCAAAAAGGAACTACTATAGGGCCTATGGGTAGGCTTGCTTTCTGTTTAGGGGCTTTTGGGGCTTAGGTTAGAAAGGTGCTTGTTCCGGGCTTAGAAAAGGACAGTAAGCGGGGAGGCTGGGGTTTTATGGGCTTTATGGGGTTTCATACGGCTCATGGTAGTGGTAAGGGCTTAGGGCCGAGGATGATTAGTGCTGGGATTCTGTACGCTTTTGCCATGCGGGCATGGGCTAATCAGGCTCCAACTTCCTAGCTGCTGCAAGGTGTGGGGTTTAGGTAAAGGGCTTCGATCCGCGTTAAGCCCGTTTGGATAAAGAGACCTCCGGCAAATCGCTTAACAAGTTGTCGCAGCTCACAGCGGCACAGACATCCTATACATCTTGTTAGGCGCACCACCCCACACTCAGCCATTGGACATTAAACCCTGCCGGTTTTGCAAACTCCATTACCCAAAAGCCCTTGTATGCAGCTTTGGTTTTGAAGCAGGGCGCCGCGGCTCTTCGAAATCCTCAGACCCCTGTTCCATAGGAAACTCGAAACCCTGCTGCTTATAGAGTTTAAGAGCCGGAGTCCTGGTGAAGAACCCGAGGCCAACCCGCAGCCATCGGCAGCATCCGCCTCTGGCAAGACTGGCTCTCAAGCGTTGCGGTGGAGGGCCAACCCTAAACCCTAAACCCTAAACCCTAAACCCTATGATTTCAGGTAACCATCCGGAGTACCGGGGTACATGTTACAGGTCTTTGGCTTCAGGATTCATGGCGTCCCTAAACCCTAAACCCTAAATCCGAAATCCGGGAGGAGGGGAGGACATTATTACAGCACCCTTCAGGACCTCCAAGCCTCTCTCTGTTTCACAACCCTACTTGGAGGGTCATGGGACTTAGTAAGTCAGGTTGTCAGTCCCCTAATTGGGGTTATAAGTATAGTTACCTTAGTTATAAGTTATAACCCTACTTACTAAGTCCCATGATCCTTTATGTACCTCAACAACCACGGAGGAAAAGGGGACCCTAAACCCTAAACCCTAAACCCTAAACCCTAAACCTGGGGCTTTGGATCCCAGGAACCCTAAACCCTATTATCCCCAAGCGCTACACCCTAATATCCCTAAACCCTGAACCCGAAACCCTAAATCCTAAACCCTAAACCCTAATATCCCTAAACCCTGAACCCGAAACCCTAAATCCTATTATCCCCAAACCCTAAACCCTAGGAACCCTAAAAACCCTAGTAGCTAAACCCTAGTAGCCCTAAACCCTAGTAGCCCTAAACCCTAGTAGCCCTAAACCCTAGGAACCCTAAGCCCCACCCTAAGGCTCATGGACCCCCATAGTGAAAGCCCAAACCTTGGACCCCAAAGCCAAAACCTTCGCCTAGAAAGCCCATAACAGCAATCAGAGCCTTAGGGTAGTAACCCTAAACCCTAGTAGCCCTAAACCCTAGGAACCCTAAACCTCAGGGGCCTGGGTGCTCTTCGGGCCTGAGGTGGGGCCGGAGGTCAAGGCGAAGCCATCGGAAGCGGAGGCGCCTCTCGAGCTTGGGCTCAGAATTTAAGGTTTAGGGTTTAGGGGGTGTAGGGTCTTGGGGGTTTAGGGTCTTGGAGGTTTAGGGGTTTAGGGTCTTGGGGGTTTAGGGGCTTGGGGGGTTTAGGGGTTTAGGGTCTTGGGGGTTTTGGGGTTAGGGGGTTTTGGGGTTTAGGGTCTTGGGGGTTTAGGGGTTAGGGGGCTTTGGGTTTAGGGTCTTGGGGGTTTAGGGTCTTAGGGTCTTAGGGGTTTAGGGTTTCAGGGGTTTAGGGTCTTGGGGGTTTAGGGGTTAGGGGGTTTCGG